CTTCTGCTCAAGACTGATTTGGCTATTTGTAGCCTTTTGTTCTTATATCTGTATTTCAGAATTATTTCTCTAGGTTTGTGAATAATGAAATTAGAATTTAAATGGAAGATTGCATTTAGCCTGTATCTGGTAAAATAGCGATTTTCATAATATTGACTCTATTCATTAATGCAGGAAGTCTTCACATCCTCTTGGACCATCTGTAACTTCTTTCCTCAGCATTTTACAATTTTTCCTAGAGGTCTTCTGCTTCCCTGGCTAGGTATATGATTAGGGTTTCATTTAAGTTATTATGAGTGCTATGTTTTATTTTATTTTTTCTCAGTTTCTTTCTCAGTATATTTATTATTGGTGTGAAGGGATTTTTACATGCTGATTTGTACCCTATCACTGTTCTGACAACATCTAACTATTCTAAGTGTTTCCTACTGGGTCTTCAGAGCCTCTTGGGTGTCGAATCATACCATCCTCAAGTAGCGATAATTTTGCTTCTTTTCCTTTTTGCATATCTTTTGTTTCGTTTCTATGTCTTATTGCTCTAGCTAAAACTTAAGCACAGTATTGGTGAAGAGTGGAGAGAGTGAACAACCTTGTTTCATTACTGATTTTAACAGGAATATTTTGACACACACACACCCCAATTTATTGTAATACTGACTATGTGCTTACTGTATATAGTCTTTAATGTGGTGCACTTCTTCAATTTCTAGTTTATTTTGGATTTTTATCACAACAGTATGTTGGACTTCATCAAAGGCCCTTTCTGCATCTACTAAAATGACTGTGTGATTGAAAACCCTTTAGTTTTAGGGAGTCCAGAGCACAAAGATGTCATACAGTTTTAATCATCTATATAGGGCATATCAGAGTAAAACCGAAGCATTGAATTTTCATTTCTCCCAAGCCAGGCTCTGTCTGGTGCCACTGTACATCAAAGGCTGACAGCTGCTTCAGGAGGAGCATCAGCTGATCCCAGGAAAACTTTTAAAATACACATCGTTGGGCCATACTCCAAACTTAGGGACTCTAAGTCTAGATTCTGAGAGCTGAGTTCATTAATCCATGCTTTCTGTCTTCCTTTTTTTTACACACCAAAGAGAAGGACCACTGTTTTGGGGTTTGAATTTGATTTTAAACTCTTTCTCGATCCCTGGAGGGTGACAATAAAGAGGATAAGTGAAGTCAAGTGACACAGTGTGGAGCCTGCTGAGATGGGAGGGAGGCAGAGATTCCAGGAAGAACCTCCAAGTCTAGGCCTGAATGACATCAGAGGCATATATAATGCTAACAAGAACAAGGAGCAGCGGAGGCTATCAGGGCTCACGTTAAACCTTAGCCAAAACCTCTCAGCAGTGAAACCGAATACGGTACAGAAGATAGGACATAGGACATGCCTATCATAGGACAGATCAACTCATCAGAGACACCTAAAGAAGCAAATGACACACAGCAATCCCAGAACCACTCCCCTCTTCAACACTAAGTCCTACTAGTGCTGCTTCTACTGTCCCACTCCAAGCCACAAATGCTACGTGGAAATGGAAGGAAACAGACACTGAGAAGCACCTTATTAGGAGAGCCATAATCTGTGCAACGGGGGTCAGCATCTCAGAAAGGTTTCAGCATTGAATACACATGTACCAAGGAGAAATCAGACAAAATCATCACAAACCTCATTAACTCCTCATTCATGGTTTTCCCATTACTAGTAGGATGGAACCATGGGGCATCCAGGACAGTGTTAGAAATAAATAAGCCAGAGCTGTAGGGGTGGTTTAATGAGGAAAGCACTTGCAGTGAAAGAGGTAGGACCTGAGTTCAGGACCCAGAACCGGAATAAAGCCACATATCTCAGTAGAGAAAGGGTAAAATGAAAGAATTATGATGTCTCAAAACTATGAGAGCTTTACATTTTTAGATTTCTTTTGTGCTTTGACAATTTCATGAATGTACAATGTATCTTGATCATATTTACCACCCCCCATTACCCTGGGATTTCCGCAATACTTTCTCCTTCTCCATTGCTGCCACCATCCTTATTTTTTATTTAAGCCTCACTAAATTCAATCGGAGCTTCCCCCCTGAAACATGAGCAATCTCAAGCAGCCTTCAGTCGCCAAGTCTCTTGCCTACATTTGTGCTGGAATTTTGAACAGATTGACCTTGGTGATTGTGCAGATAACCGTAGCTGCTGTGGGTTCGGACAAGGTTATGTCCTGTCCAAAAGGGAGCAATTCACAACACTCCGTAATCACTTATTCTAGGCACTTTGGCCAGTTAAGAGTCTCTATGTTGACTGTTGCAAAAAGAAACTTCTTTGACCAAAGTTGAGAGCACCAATAATCTAGGGGTGTAAATACAAATATTTAGGAACCAGTTTGACGAAATGTCCATGTAACACCACAGTAGTGGACTTCCCAGCCATTGAATTCTGATAAGGTTCGCTGTGCCAGGCATGAATTCTCTCCTGTGGAGCAGCACTCAAATGTAAAGTCAAAGCACTTGGTGACTTCCATAGCAATCACACATTATTTTACCAGTCGGTTGCTTGGCAGGTGAGTATTATAGCAGGTAGTGACCACTAGGGACGTTTATGAATAAATTTCTTCCACAATGGCCTACATAGCACTGTCCAGATATACGAAAGCTACCTAGTGCAGAAGGACTTCCCAGGTCAGTTCCAGTCGGGTTTCTATGTCTTCCCATCAAAGCACTGTAACTTCAGAAGCTGGTGTCTTGGCATCTAGCAATGGTAGGTAACCAAAAGCAGCAAGAACAATGGCAAGAGCTGCTGTTTCCATTGTCTCCGGAGCTTTCTTCACCAGTGAATGATAGGCAGGTATCCCACACTCAGAACTGAGATTTTTATCTAATAACCTCAGCCAAGTTACTTCTGCCTAAACTCCTTTAGCACTGGTGTGTGAGTGTGTGTGTGTGGGGGGGGGAAGATGGGGAGGGAGGTAAGAAGGGAGGGAGAGGGAAAGACAAAGACCGAGAGAGACAGAGAATTAGCTTGCAGACTTTTTATAGTTTCTTAGTTTTGGTTAATCCATACCCTTCTCCCCCTCCCTTCAACATGCCTCATTCTTATCCTGAGACACTGCACATTCCCCTCTATTCTCCCACACAGATGAAGTCTGAGACCGTTCTAACAGCAGAAACAAAGCTGCAGAGTCCCAGGTGGAGGAGGTCAGAGTCATGTGGATGGCAGACAGATTGAGAAGCACTGGGTAGGCGCTCCATGCCAAGTGACTAATTTTGGCAGAGTGGAAATGGTGTGTCTAAAATAACGGAATGTAGAGCAAGAGAAGGGACCAGGCAATGACAGACTTCTTGTTAAGAATCATCTTTCACAGGACTTTTCAATTAGTTCAATGTCAAGATCGTGGTCTTGGAGATGTCACACCCTTGTACCTCGACTGGAAGGTATTAAAAGCCCTTTGGAAATGTTCCCAGGGAGTGCTTTTCAATATTTATGAGCCATTTCTATAAATGACTGCTGGGCAGTTGTAATAATTAAGTGTGTGCAGGTGACGTGGCCTGCTTCTCATCGCCTGCGAGTGTATGCTGTGTGCAGTCCTCACCACAGAGCCACTTCCGCTTGCTGCGCTGACCTCATTCTTTTCTTCCTGGAAAGACTGGCTTGTTATTTTTAGTTACTTCTAAAATAACTTCATAATTAAGGAAAAAGTAAATTTAAAAAAAAATCTATGCAAGAGACTCAGCCAATTTTTTCATGTGTATATAACCCACATAACTGCACTCAAAATCATTATAAAATGTTTAGCAGGCCACCTAAGGTTATTGCTCCATTTCTAAACCAAAAATGATTCTGACTTTCAGTATGTCTTCATGTTTAATACAAACAAAATTGCTAGTGATGTTTTTATGACTGATCTCTTTCACTCAGACTTACATCTCTGACGTGATTTTTGTATAGTTTGGTCCTTTATATTAATTGCTGTGCAGTATGCCAAAATCCTGTTTTGATGGGCAGCTAGGTTGTTTCCTGTTCTTGATTGTTATGAACTCCCATACAACACCGTGTTGACTTCCTCATATACGCAAGTACTCATTTCCATTGGGCAATCCAGGTGCAGAGGCTGGGGATGTGGGTGGGGCACGCTGAGCATGATTCTATTTAGCTTTAGAACACACTGTCAGCTCTCCAGTGGCTGCACCAGTTTCTACTGCGTGTCCAAAGCCTGGCTTTTTGAGTAGGAAAACAAGCATTGTGTTTCTCAAGTGAGCCCTTCTGAGCTCTAGTTACTTGTGGACGGATGTTCACAGCTGTGGGGCAGAGCATCCGGGCTCTGGACAGGGTGATTCTCATTATCTACATCCTTTTCAAACTCAGCAGCATGGATTCCCACCTAGAAATATGGCTGTTTGGGAAAGAGGTTCAGTTGTCCCAGACCTAGCAGCATGATAATAAACATCTGAGTTGCTGGGGAACCTTTCCTTTATACCGAAAATTAATTATGCTCAGCAGCTCATCTTAGAGTTTCTCTGATACGAGGAGAGATGCTGTTTTAACCTTCATTTCCAGTTCATGCTGAAGCATATGCACGTGTGTATGGACTCATTGTCAAAATGTCAGAAAACATAGGCAATCATATGGAAGAAGACTTTAACTTGCAGTCTGGATGCGAGACGGCCAGTTACAGGTTTACACACGAAGGAGTGTTCCTATTTGAAAATAATTTCCTTCCCAAGTTTCCCATGACTTGATTTTTGCTCTTCTGTGCTCTTTGTCTTCCTCCACCCCTGACTCGTTGTCAGACACCTTTCCAGATCAGGATTACGTACCATTGTATTCAATGTGCACTAGCAGTTGGTCTCATTGTGCATACACGAATCAGTGATTCTTCTTTTGATACATTTTTATTTTTTAGTGTTGTGTTCCTCTTTTCGCTCCAAGCAAGAAGAAACTTCCTTAAATCTATATCATGTGAGTATGTGCGGGTATTTCCTCTAGGACAAACTAGAGAAGCTGAATCTCCGAGGGAGAGGAGGCTTATCTTTCAGTGTCATTGGATATTAACAAAATGCCTCCCCACAAGCTGGGCCAATCTATTTCATACCAGTAGAGGAGCCTGTGTAGCTCCACCCTCCCCACAGCTCCTGCAGCCCATTGTCCAAGCGGGCACCCAATGGCCACTTGTGGGTATCATCTGGTTCGGCTGCTCTTGGGTAAGGCCTTTCTACAGTTTATCTGAGTGCTAGCAGCTGCTAAGTATCATGCGCTCTCCCTGTTAACCAGCATGTCTTCTGCCATCTAGAAGATTTATTTGTACAAAATCAATTACCATTCCATCTGCTCTAGTTTTTAAAAATATTTCCCCTACAGGGTTAGCAAATCAGTTTAGCCAAGACTTATATTATTTAGGAGAAGATTAGTGCTTTTTTTTATAATCCTCACAATTATTGGTAAATTCGGTTTTCCATATTTTGAATCAATGTTGCTAAATTATTTACTGTATTATATCATGCATTATGTTATATGCTGATTATTAAAATTCTATTGATTACTAGAATATATAAAGTCTGTTTAGTCAGTGTTGTGATAATGAATGTTGTTACTCTTGTTTATTTAGCCAGATAATCAAATAATATGCAAATAATTATAATAATACCTTACTTTAAATATTTGTAACTTTCCTTTACCTTACCTAAGTAAGAGACATTTCTTAGATAATGGTAAATATTGATAGCGAAAAAGGATACTTTTATCTATTCCCAATGTATTTCAGTATTAATTTTAATGAAAGAATTAGGTTTGAATTGATATCTTTAAGAGTAATATTGAGGAAATACCTTTTCTCTTCCAGCATTTCTGTAAAGACTTTTGCCAGGCATAAGTAATTATTTTAAATTATGTGTTCGAAGCCATATTAGCGTGCCTTCTGACGATGCTTTGAGTGAAGGGAAGACTAAATCTCTGAAAATGCAGCTCTTATCACTGATGACATCGTTTGCTGAAGTCTGAAGGTTGTCCCGGATCCTTTAATAGGAAACAACATTTTAATATCATCTTACTAGAAGAGCATCCATGGCAGGTACCAGGTCGCACGTGGGATCCCTTCATTCCTAACTCAGGCTGGGAACTCTTTGGACTGCATTACAGAAGAGCTGGGTTTCTTCAGACTTTCCAGCAGTCTCCTGGCCTTGTTTAGGATCAGAGAAAGGGCTGCATATAGTCCCATTCCTCCCACATCAGTGGGTACCATCGAGTCTATTCTTTCTGTGTTATTCACATTGTCTTGGGAAGCAATTCATCTTAAGGATGTTGACGTTATCTTAATCTCTGGTGACTATACCTGAGTCCACAACTTATTATTTTTAAGGTTTTTGTTTGGTATGGTTTGTGTAATATTTGCTTTTAAAATCTGAAGCAAGGACTAAATTTCCCTTTTGTCATATAATTGGTAATGTCTTAAGAAGGTATGTGTACTCTGAGAGGGACTCCTGATGGCCGAAGAATATCTGCTTTACAAAGAGTAGAAAGTTCACTGTGCTCTGTGAACCCAGTGCCCTGGGACTCTAATCCCCAGCAGACGACTTGAGAAGAAAGTTGATCATGGGGAGACTCGTGTTCTGAGTCTGCCTCAGGACTGTGAACAGTGGCTGGGATGTAGCAGGTTTCCATAATAACTGGTTAAATTGAGCTATCTCCTGGAAAACACATCCCACCTCTAAGATATACAATACTCTATTAAAATAGCAATTGAAATAATGAAAAGAAAGTATTTTCCAAGAATGGAGGCCATCAGAGAAGTATCTGGGTCAGCTGGGATCACCCGAGAAGCACTTGAGGGCCATCTTGCTCCGCTATGGAAGCATTGTTCCAGCCGCATTGCTGAGGACAAACTGAATGACTCTAACGTGAGGTCAATGAACTTAGTTGCCTTCCCTTTGGTTTCCTAGTGGGAAACTGAAATAGTGTAACCATGAACACAGTTGAATGCTTCTTCATATCCTTGCTTAATTCATGAATTTTTATTTGTTGCTTGTTTTTCCCAAGGCCCTACGTGTAGTAAGTGCTTGTATGGGTAATTTTTACATTTTGTTTATGTTTTTATTTTTTTAAGTTAAGACAAAGATCTTACTTCAGCGAATACACTGCGTTCCGCTAGGCAGTAACATTATTCACTTGGAGAGATTTCAGAAGAGTCTTTGCTTCTTTTCGTGTGGTGCTAGAGATCAAACCCAGCGCCTTGCTCGTGAAACGTGGCAAGTCATACTACCGCACAGCCCACTTCCACATGTCCGCTGGTAGTGGCAGGTTGCGCTGCTTGTCTTTGTGCTTCTTTTTCTTCTGTGCTGCACCATCTTCACACTGAGGGTTGTACTTCTAAGAGCAACACCCAGCAACTTTATTGCATGACTCCTAATATTTTATTCGTGGTCAGTGTTGTCTTTCCCAGTCTTCTACACTGAATGACAAAGAACCAGCCCCAGAGCTGAGACCTCAAACATTCCCTGAAAATTCCAGGGAGGTGTATGTCACCACGCTGAAGAAAGACAGGACTACTAGAGCCTTGTGCATGGTATTGGTTTATGAAGGATAATAGTTCTCACTTTAGCTTTTCAATATGGAAGCTTCGCTGTGCAGCCTTTCTGAACTTGTTTCAGACTGAGCACCGTGTGAAAACTTCCTTCAGACACCCTGTCGCCCCCTCTCCTGTGAAGAGTGTCTGCTGGGAAGGCACTTCAGTAGGGAAGCGAGTTTTCCATCTCATTGCCTGCTAAATGGAAGCTATTTAATAAAGAGCACACACGCCACCCACGGTGTGCACAAGCACTCTGACATTTGGCAGGAGGCAATCTTGAGGTTTTCAGATACCAATAGTCTAAGTTAACTTTGGAAAGACCTGGGGTGATGATTATGTGCTCATCAGAGTAGATTGGAGTGGACATTTCAGAAAGGGAGAAGGCAAGTGGCCATGTTCTCACAGTAGCAGCAACATCAATAGCACACGCCCACCACAGGCCACCAAAGGGCACTATGCCTATGGGATCTCATCTCATTCACATTCGGCTCGGTGGGACATAGCACTCAGAGATGCAGAGACAGGAGGACCACAAGTTAGAGACTAGCCTGGGCTACAGATCTAATACTGTCCAGAGGAAGTAAGGAGAGAACAGGGCAAGATGGAGAAGGAAGGGGGGATAATCTTATCTAAAAATAGTGTTGCGTGTTTATAAATCGAGATAGATGTGTTTCTGTCATTCATAGGATATGCTGTCTGATGTGTTGAGACCGATCATGCCTGACATTGCTTGTCTGTTATTTTCAAATATCATGTACTTGGGTCCTCAAGTTTCTGCCTTATACCATCACATTCCTGTCTTCCTTTTAGAGACTTTGTTCATCAGGTTGTACTGTTCATAGTACCTCAGTGAGAGAGAGATGCCAGGTTACCCAGGAAAGATTTCAGTAGGTGACAGGTAACGAAAAGCCAAAACATGGCGACTGATGTCAGTTATTGGCTTCAAGGCAGCAAATGTAAGATCACATAACTTTAGTTGAAAATATGACTATGTTGTCAGTGGTGGCGCACACCTTTAATCCCAGCACTAGGGAGGCAGAGGCAGGCAGATCTCTGTGAGTTCGAGGCCAGTCTGGAACTACAAGAGCTAGTTCCAGGATAGGCCCCAAAGCTACAGAGAAACCCTGTCTTGAAAAACCACACATACAAAAAGAAAATATGACTGTGTCATGACGTCTTTTCTGTTATTTTCTTCCCCTAATTTTGAAAGAGGTTGGAAAATGTGAAGCCAACAAAAAAGTTACACACAGAGATATATAGTAACTTGTGAGTTTCAGTTTCAGGTGCCAAACTAACAAATCTTTCTTTGCTACTGTTCAGACGTAACCTAAGACAACCTGTTCCATGCAGTTCTCTGAACACTGGATTGGTAGAAGAAAGGAAAACTGTTCGTCATGGTGAAGATGTTAGGACATCTACAGTGTCCTAACATTTTACAGTGCAGGATGGACTACAGAGTGCAGGATCTACGGAGTGTAGGTTCCTGGCCTCTGAAGCACACTGCATCTGTGGAGGTTCTGCTCATACCATTTCGCAGCTGTGTCATTTCGAGCACCCTGCTGTCACTCTTTGTACTTCCGCTCCAGCCTCTATAAAGTGGCCCATCCTGCAGTGCTACGTGCTAACACTGGACACAAGAGGGGGATGCCCAAGCTGATGCATGAGTGTTTATTAGGCATTGTTTTCTCTCATGGTTTCTAATTACTAAGAGCAAACCAATTGTCAACAGAACGTTCTAGGCTTTGCCAGTCACCCAAAGTCTTCTAACAGCAACAGGTCCAAGGAGGGTCCAGTGTTTAATCACTGTTGGAAGTAAAATGACTTTTCTTGTTCAATGACTTGGCAGTACAATAGCTAATTATTTATATAAATGGCTCTTTGACAAAGGCAACAAAGTTTTAAAAAGCTATATTTCACAAATAAATGATAACTCAGCGTTGTTAAAAAGACATCGGCGAATTTTAGGAAATGATACAACGTGGAAAGGAATGTTTCCCCATTAACTTCAGATCCCTGGTCTAAAACGTTTCCTGCCCTCAAGATCTCTCTTCATTTACAGTTTGTTTTTTTTCTGATAATTACTTCTCTTCTCTAATAGAAGCTCTGAATCAATCTAAGGCTATTTTCCTCTTTGGTATTCACCACTCTGACTGACACACACACACACACACACACACACACACACACACACCTTTGCTAAATGTCAGAATGTCAGAGCTGGTGAGCCATGCAAGCAATTTAGTTGTTTAGAACAGAGGCAAAGGTATTGAAGAACTAGAGTTCGTCCTTGTCAGGAGTCCTGGTCCTGTCTGTCATGTCAGCCATCACTAAGTGGAGTCAAAACTGCGGATGTTGTACAGAATTGAGGGTAAGCAGTACTTATGCATGGCGGTGAGCTGATGAAAATAATTGGAACCTGTTGGGTCTGCTTTCTTGTAGGTGACGTCAAGTGAATCCACAGGAGCCCAAATAAAAGGGTAACAAAGATTTATTAGGGAACAATTATGAATAACAGCAAGGTAGAGAGCTGCCGTGGTCTTCCATTCTGTCCTGGAGTCACTGGATGCAGTGATTCCATCTCTGATCACCAAACAAGAGAGCAAGCGAGCCCCCTCCTCTTTGTTGTAAGAGATCACATCTGCACACAGAAGCGATGCCTTGTGGTTGGCAATCCCAAAACTATTGGCAGAATGATTTCCCACATCACTCTCTAATGAGGATGTCCCGAAGACAGCCAGCCTAGGTGCACTGAAGAAAAAGATTGTGGATCTTCACTGACTGTCTTACAGCACAAGCTCTAGTGTTTATGGGGTGGTCAGAGTGCCCATCCAACTTGATTTTAGAAGGAATATTTTAAATTAATACCATCAGAGGTTGGGTAACTTGTCTTTGAATCACCATAGTTCCTAGCATGGAAAAATACCATATACATATATGTATGAGCCCTTGTGTGGTGAATTCAAGGAACACATGGGTCCTTGACTGACACCAAAATCAAAGAAAGGACAATATTTACTTTGTTTTCTGATTTCTGAATCCCTTTAAAAGTAGGGGTCATTTATGTGAGGATTTGGGAAGAGACCCAGTCTCACTACAGACAGACGCATTCTCATTCCTCTCTGTTATGATTAATATTCCAGCTTCACATGAAACATCTGATTACTTTCCCATACAGAAAAGAAACACAGGGTGCTTCTAGGATGTGAGAAAAAACAGGATCTTACAAAGAGGAAAATCAAAACAATTTGTCTGCGGCCATAGTTAGTTCATATTTCTTTTCCTATACTTTTTGTTTCTGTTTTATTTTTCACAGAGTCGAGTTCATCCTAACAGACTCTAATTTACTATATACTAATCTGAGTATATTATCACTTAGCTCTTTAACATATACTTTTACAAATCTCATAGCATGTATTATACATATTTTAAGTGGTATATAGCATACGGCACACAGAGTTAATCAGTTGTTTACATTTTAAGTATTAGATGATTCGCTCCTCTTCCGTCTCCTTCTGCTTTGCCTTCGAGGATGTGTTGAATTTAGATGTCTACGTGCATATGCTTTCTTCTGATTCTTGACTGTCTTCCTTTTAGACAGCTTTGGAAAGTGTCTGCTTCTGCAGAGAACACGGTCTTCTGTCTGGGACCGCGTGTGACTGTTTACCCTCTGGTTTTGCGGCCGGGCTGATACTTCAAAATTTAAAACAAAAAAAATCAGCTCTTGAATAAATGTAATGGGAATGATATCATCAGATCCTCTTGGTTTTTATAGCAGGAATGATAGTAAAGCTCTAAGAGCAAGGAGGCACATTAGGACAAACCACGGGGACTGGGTTTTAGGGCTAGTGTGAGGATGCGTGACAGGAGCCCTTCAGTGAGAATCAAGAGGTTGTATCCCTGGGAAGGAACAAGAATATGGACGGGCATTGTCATGTAGCTAGAAAACATTAGAACTAAAACTGGCTGCAGAGATGGCTCAGCAGTTACAAGCACTTGCTGCTCTTGCAGAGGATCCAAGTTCTGTTCCCAGAATCCACGTGAGGAGTCTCACAACCATCTGTAACACCAGCTCCCAGGATCCAAGACCCTCTTTTGGTCTTCACAAGTGTCTGCCCAAACATGGAGCTTACAGACAAGAAGATAATTCTTAAAAAAGTATTATGGGAGGCAACATCAGTGGTTGGTCACTCATGTCCCAAACCCCCTTATCTCATTTGCCTCTTAGAGAATAAAATGGAAATTTCCTAAAATTCTAGAGGAATTAGATTTAGAAAATCTGATTTCAAAGATTCCCTCAATGTTCTTTTTTGTGGTTGTTGCTCCACCACAATTATCAGGATCACCGTCTGATTTTTGTAATAAATACTTTTACTAATTTTTTTGTCAATTTCATATACTGTATTTTGATCAGATCCACCCCAACTCTTCCTGTTTCCTCCTTCAAGCTTCACCATTTCCTCAGAACCCCCACAACATCATATCTCTTCTCTTCTTTAAAAATAACAACCCATGCACTCAAATTTGTGCCATCCATACACTCTGGGGTGGGTGACCACTCACTGGAGGGTGGTTGACGTACCAAGAGCCACGCCCTTAGAAAATGGATGCTCTTTTCCCCATAAGCCACCAGCTGCCCTTAACTCCTCAGTTACGGGAGGTGGAGGGCAGATGGCCTCATGAATTCCTTCCCACTGCATGCTAGGATTTCAAAAGGGTAGCTCTTGTAAATAAACACACATGCTGTGAGTTCCTAGTGCAGTGGTCCTGTGGTGTCTGAAGGACTGACACCTGGCTCTGAGCTACACTTTTTGGCACTGAGGTCATGTGCTCTCTGACTTTTGACATTCTTCCCCAGGTCCCCATTCCACCTGAGTGGTAGCTCAGGTCCTCCACTCTTCCACAGTGCAAGTAGCACATTTCTCAGGAGTCCTCCAAGACCTTTCTCCATTCTTCCAGGATCCGCTACCTGACTAGTAAACACCCAGATGCCAAACACCTGACAATGATTTTGCCCACTCTGAACTTTCTACGCAGTACACTCCGTCTACCTCTGTTTTTGAACCTCTGTCTTTATTTATGTGTTTGCTTGTAAGAGGAGTCCATCCATTCCATTTGCTGCTTCTATGGTCCCTGATAGTGACAAATTACAGATTTATACATTTGTTATAAATATGTATATATAAATTATGTATACATTTTGTTAGTAAAAGTAATTGAGAGCATCCGTTTAGTCCTACAAACTTTGGAATAACCCAAAAAATAATACTGTCACAATTATTGTTTATATCATTTGGTGAAGACACATACATTCTATGCATGTTTATCAGGGTTTTATCTCTGAAATAAGATTGCTTGATCGTATGACTTATAAAAATTTAGCTTAATATCTACCAACAAAATGTCCAAAAGGCTGTTCAAATTATAATACCAAAAGTAATGGAAATCCAAGCTCTCTGCTCTGCTTCCAGCAGCAGTTGCTACTTTCCTTTATGCGTGTGTGTTCTGAGACTGTGATTTAATTTTTATTTTCCTAATAGTCAGTGAAAGGATTCACTATAATATATATGTCTGTTGGCTACGTGGAGAGTCTTTCATAATAAGACTGTTGAACTCTCTTGTTTGTTTTCATTAGGTTTCTGTCTTTGCTTAGTTGATTTGTAGAAACTTTTAACTGTGTTAGCATCAAGTCTTCTATTAGATGTGCGTCTTAAAAGTTTCTTTTTGGACTCGATCTTTCTCTTTTATAATAAAAAAAGATTACTGTGATGAATAAAGTTAATAATTTTAATATGAAACAGTATATCAGTCGACCTTCATAGTTGATATCCTTTTTGTCCCTTAAAAAAACTTGTTTATGTCAAGATATTCATATTCTAAATGTCTCATTGTTTTATTTTTCTGATTTAACTCATCAATTCTTCTGAATTGATATAAAGTAAGGATCCTTATTCCTTTTTGCCTTGATATTCTATTGGCCCCAAACCACTAACTGGCCTGCCTTTTTCATTTATTGCTCACACTGGGACCTACACAGCTCCAACTAAGGACAGCAAGGGAATGGAGAGAGGAAAGACACACAGACACATGTACAGAAAATCTGGGAACAGTGGAGGAGTGACCACTCTGATGGAGGGTGCCTGCTGCTGCCAGTGTCCCAGAACTTCAGTGTGTTTATTAAGTATAGCAGCGCACGATGAGGAGGTCAGACAAAAGTAGGAGGTTTCTGCAAGTGAGCAGCCTCAGGCTGTAAGCCTCTGAGAGGAGGCAACTACAGTTGCCTAGTATTGATGCACACTAACAATCCATAAATACTCATACTCAGGCCTCAAGAAAATCTTTGCCATTCCCTTGAGCCTGATTCATATGGAGAAACATTTGCCAATTTTCCATGGGTCCAAGGACTTGGTCTCTTCAACATGGCCAAGCCCAGGCCAACCATACACATTCACTAAGGACTTAGCATGGGGCTTCTTCCACTCCCTACAACCTACCATACATAGAGCCCATATACAGCACATGTAAAGTTTGAGCTTTAGGTAGCTCATCCAGGTACAGGATAGAAAGGAAGCTGCAAGCAAACATGCGGGGAGTAAGCCAGACAGGAGGGTCTGTATCAGGGCAGGTGAAGTGTAGCAGCTTGAGTTAAAGGTAGGATCTGATGGAAGAGCCATCTGA